AAGTTGTCCGCTTTGTAGAAATAAAGTTGTGAAGAGGGTCTAAAAAGTAGCTAAATCTAGTGAGAAAGTGGCCAAGTTTGTACCTCTGTAATTATTTTAGTGTGTGTAAGCGTAGAGCTATTGAATGAATGAATATGAACATCCTGTGAAACCATGTATATGTCATAGATACATGCTTATTCAGACCTCATAGTTAACATATAGGCCTGTTTATTTAGTGGGGAGCCTAGCCATGCTCGGACAACACACCTCGATCACGTGTGGGGACTTTCTAGGCGCTCACCCAATCAGAGCGTCACATTTCTCCTCAGTGTCGGTGTAAACAAGAGCAGGAATCTCTTGGCGCTTCCCTGCACCTCGTTGTTAGACAATTGATCGCGGCCTCCATTTCCTTTTTTCAGAGCCTCAAAACAATAAAAACAGAACTGCTGAGGCTGATATCTCTCCCGCTGCACGTATACGATAACACGTTCTCGAGCCAATCCGGTATGGCACAGCTAAAGTGGACCGGCTAGGCGCCCGTGGTGGAAAAACCCTGATAAAGAACAGCACTGGCCTAAAGTCACAAACACAATGCCATAAAAAGATGTGTTGATGAATTTACAGCCAAGATTAGCAACGCAGTACACTCGCCCCCGCTGTGGTAGACTGGGTGAAGTCCCTGTGGCCATAATGGAACATATTACCATCAACAAAAGCAACTGGTGAACAGCAGTAACATCTGTTTGTGACGGTAGCAGTGTACTCTTCAAACATTCATCATGGAACTTCATTGTGTTTTCCTGACAGAACTGAGGGTGACGGGTGCCACACATGCCCGACAAGGCCAGTGAACATACTTTTTAGTCATTTGATTATGGAAGCAAAGTTTACTACTTGTTTTGAGTATTAATATGCAAACTGTAAATGCTTTAAAAAGGGGTTTAAGTGAAAAAAAAACCTTATTTCTGGAGTAAATATAACCTTTTGACTCCATGTGGTTATGTCTTGCCCTTTTTCAGAGCTGCTTTCGGTGTTTTAAATTACTCTGACGTCGAGCTTTTTTAGTTAAAAACTTCATTGGCCACCTGTAGATATTGACATTATTTGGAGTCGTGGCCAATGCACCCCTCTGTCAGTAAACAGCCTCATCGCATTACAGACCTTTTTGGGTCCTCTTAAACAGATTTTATGCAGTTTCTGAGCAAATTTAAATTCTCTTAGAGGTTAGCTCCAAATGACACGCAGGCAGTTTGCCCAGGATTTTAAGATGCAGGAAAAAGCCTGCAAGATACACCATAATAAGACATCAGTAGAAAACCGTAAGGAGTTGGAAGCCGTTCCTACTCCTTTTGGTTTCTGATGATCATGTTTTTAGCAAACAATTCTCATAACATCCAAAGTTCACGACGTGAAACGAGTTAACCTGGAGCTCCCGCTAACAAAGATCGCTGGCTCAGAGAATAAGTGAGCTTTTGTCAAAGTGACCGTTTGGATGAAAACTGCTGGCATGTCCACAAACTTGAACCTAACCCTAACCCTAACCCCAAACCCTAACCCATTCACTGTCAACAGAGCAACTGCGGGATTTGCATCTAAGAATCTTCCTTTGTTTTGAGTCTTTTTAGCTTCATAATTGACTCACGGTTGCTTCATTTATTAATGTCGTTCCACACTGAACTGTTGGATATTCACTGAGAGCCACAGCAGGACTGTGACATTATGCTTGAGCTTGTTCCTGCCTGTGCAATTGACATGGCATTATCCTGAGCCCGTGCTTATCCCCACCTTTCTCCTCGCTGCTACTTCCTTTGCCTTTTAAATATGTGAGGGAAAGAGGCCATCTATTTCGAGACCGCAATAATTTAGGAGGGGGCTAATGTTTGCTGTGGCCTCAGGGGAGGCAGATTTAGATGGCCAATAGACTTGGCACGTTCAGACTGGTGCAGCTGAACCCCACCCCATCCACCCTCCTCTTTCTCTCCCAGCCTCTGTCTATCTCTCTCTACCTCTCTGTCCTCTCTCTATTGAGTCAGTGGTTTGGGCTTGCCAGGGGCTAGTATAATGGTTCCCAGTGTCTGGAGAGATTAAAGGCCAGAGCTGCATTGTTCAAATGCCCCGAGATTAGTTTCCAAGGAGACGGGTTTCAGTTGCCATGAGAACATAGTGCCTGGCTTTAGCCGAGCAGTTTTTCTTTAACAGTTCCTATCTGTTTGCCACTTCACTTTTGTTCACATTGGCCATTTTGTTGTTTGTGGTTTTAGATGATTTGGTTTGAAAATGCTAAAATGTATTATTCAGTTACACCCCGGTAGTATAGCTGCAGTGGGACATGCAAGGCCTTGTCCTGTTCATCTTGAGGCAGTATCTCTTCCTGCACCATCTGTCAAGGAGAGAAAGTAAAGTACAAAATATGACATCATGTGAGTGCTCTAATTAGCCCCCAATGACAAAGGCAGACCACAAGATTTTGATTTCAGATGGATATGGTCTTTAGGGATGGCGGTGGTGGTCAGTCTGCCACATTGGACCAGGCTTGAATATCTCAGCAGCTATTAAACGGACTGACATTAAATGTGGTCCCTCCCTCCAGCAGCACCACGAACATGGCAAATGTTTCACTTGAATATCTCAACATCCCCCTTTTCTTTTTCCTTCTAGTGCCATCATCAAAAGTCAAAATTTGATTTGTTTAATACTTTAATTAATGACCAGATACCACTACATAAATACAAAAATACAAACTAGGATGGTGAATACAGTAGACATAACCTGCTAAACATCTCCATGTTAACATTGTCATTGGGAGCATGTTAACATGATGTCGTTAGCAGTTAGCTCAAAGCGCCGCTGTGCTGTAAGTTGTCAGTGCATGAAATAAGCATCCAGGGTGAGTAAAAAGGTCCACACTCCGTCTTCATTTACCTCCCAGCCTCCAGCGTTAAAACGATGATCCCAATGAAAGCTTATATTTGCTTAAAGTCAAACCGAAAGATGTCAGCAGAAAGTGCTTTGAACGCAGGTCTCCGCTGCATGTATGCATGCTCACATATTGGGTTTTGTCACACTGTGGCTGCCCGCCTCAAAGTGTGTTCATCTGGTCCCCGCAGAGCCATGGCTCAGATGAGGAAGCTGGCATGTGACGGCATCAGGACGAACTCCCGAGGCGAGCCACAAGTCCCGCTGGTGTCTGCCAGACAGGAGATCCTCACCAGCCTGGTGTCTGCTCTCGACTCAGTGGTATGTCCCAGATCGAACTTCACAATGTCATTTCGGAGATCTTATTCTGTGGTCTCGGGATGATTAACTACTCTTAGCTAATTAGTGAAAATCCACCCTAAAGCATTGTGTCTCTGAACCTGTTTCATGGTTAATATTTGTTTATGGGAATATGCTTTGAACACCAGCAATTAATGATATGCACAACAATGTTTGAGTACTTGAGGGTGGATTAGGATTCTTTTGCCATCCCATGAGAATCAGAATGCAGTCCTTCCAGATCCTTTGTTTTCTTAATGAGTTGCACATGTCTTCCTTCAGAGTTTCTGGTAATTACCTATGAGGAAATAATGCCCGTATTCTTGTCTTTGCAGTGCATGGCGATGTCTAAGCTCAATGCTGAGGTGGCGTGTGTCACCATACACGAGGACAGCGTGATTGCAGTCGGCACAGAAAGGGGCAGAGTGTTCCTCAACTCCAGAAGGGAAATCCAGACAGACTTCTACAAGTTTTGCCGTAAGTTTGTGCAGTGAAACAGATCCGACTCGGAGAATATCTGTTGCCACAGTCTGTACAGAGCCTCACATAAATGCATAGGTACATAGATAGATTACACGCCACAACGTGACTACATGAAAGACAGAAAATACATCCACATGTATACACACAACGAATGTGGTTTCCCATTATTCATTCTAGATAGAGCATCGATTGCTCTCATAATAGCTACAGCTGCGAGTGCATAAAATGCACTCGTGTCAGGCTTCTCCCCCGTAGGATTTTTGCGAGTTTTGTGATTGCACAAATGCAGATTCTGGCTGAATCTGCATTTACTAATAACTGCAGCGGCTTGCAGTTTTGCTCAATATCAGATTACGTCATCATAACATAATTGAATCAACAAAGTAGTTTCACACATTTTGCCCTTTATCAGAACAAAATGATATATCAGCAAACTGGTTTGTTGCATCTCATTTGGTGAAACCATCTGATGTGTTATGTTTGCAAAATAAGACATGACTGCTCTTAACTCTTATTTTACTTTCTTTTTGTTTGATCTTTGAATAAAACTGATATGTTAAAGTCAATGTCAAAAAGGACTTAGATATGGCTTAACAGAATTTAAAACATTCTCATCATCTCACTTGATAAGAACAACAAGATATATATAACAAGAGGTTAAATAGTTCTGTACCTTGTGAGTAAATATTCTAGGCTCAACCAAATTGTAAGCCCTTTCCTTTAGCCTTCATTTCCTATAAACAAACTAGTATGCAAGGTTGAAAGCTGAGCCCTATTTCACAAATCAGCATTGGGACATTAAGTCCTACCTGTTGACCTTGAGTGCAAAAGTACAACAAATAGTGCTCTGAGTCCTCAATGTTTCCCTACTAACAATACCAATTTGAGGGTTTGTGACCTCCCATTACGCAGTTTAATTTTATTAGGCTGCGTATTACAAGGTGAAATGAGTTTTTCCAGCCAGTTGCAAGGAGCAGTAGCTCCAGTTTGCTTTATTTAGTGAGGACATCAAATAGAAATAAACCATTTGTTTTGGTAGTTGGCCTTCAACTACAACAAATGAAGAGGATTTAAAGTGAATGGCTTTATGTTGCCTACTTAATCACGTTGTTGGAAACGCTTTACATTTATCCAGACACATTCTAGGACAGAGGAATCATTTATTTTATACGCCACCATTTCTCAAAAGGTGACATATTCATTACTTTTAGGGAACCAGATTCTCAATCTTCTTGTTTTTTGTTTCTTTGGAACAGTTAAAGTCAAGGCACTGACTCCATTAGGGAGAACACATAGTAAGGCAGGTCATTTGGACCTACTAGCATCTGAAATGTTTTTTGTGCACCTATTATTTTTTTAATGCTATTGGAATGTGCAAGATGTGACTTTTGTCTTTTGGCTTCAGGGGTGCCGTGTCTGCAAAATCTGACGACAGCAAATGCCCATACCAAAGACCAGGAAGGCGATCTCAGCAAACTGAGTAAGGACAGTGAGCATGGGAAACCGAGAGCTCCATCAGACGTTCAGTCCAACATCTTTGTTCTGAGGAAGATGGTGGAGGAAGTCTTCACTGTACTTTACAGTAAGGCGTAACCAACATGTTTTCCACTTACCTTAATTCGTAATTATCACTCTGATGAGTCTCTATTCATGATTTACATCATCCTCAACATTACCTATATGGAAAAAATGCCTTTCTAACCAAACTAATCAAAGCAAAGATTTCCCCTTACCCAATCATAATTATTGTTAGTTATCCAGGAGCAGAGCAGAAGCTGTTTAATTTGAGAACTGCCAGTTCTGTAATTCTGTATAACATGTATTTCAAAGTACTCACACTGCCTCGTGCAATGTGCAGGTGAGGCCGTGGGAAAGAGCAGCCTGGTCCCTGTGCCTTATGAGTGGATCCAGAAGGACCCCAGCTGTGTGGTGGCTCACGGTTTGCCTGAGGGAGTCTCCCTGAAGAAGCCCTCCGAGTATGACACCAAGACACTGATGAAGATTCTGGAGCAGAGCCACCGCATCCAGTTCACAGTAAAAAGGTGAGTCTGTTGTCTGTTATTCTTCAATCCGCTGCTGTTCAGGATAACAGATTGCTTTTATCAGTTCATCAAACCAGCTGTTTCCCATCTGATCACTCTAAAATGGAAAAAAAGTTTGGCATTTCAGCTTATCCTCTAATGCTTTGCAGAGATACATGGTTATGTATGGCTCGAAGCACATAGCCGTCTTGGGATGTTTGTAGCTAGTTATTGGTAGCAGACAGGCTTTAGCGTATTAGTGAGGGATAGACAGGGTTTTAATTCTGTTGTGGAAAACGCTCTCTCAGGTTTCATACTCTGCAGAACATGTTTGCTTCATAACAAAAACCTGGTCAGATTAAACAGCATCCAGTGCAGAAGCTGGGCTAGGACAGCAACGTGTATTTTGTCAATGGCGGCGATGCAAGTAGCATAAAGCCTGTTAATAATATGAATTAAGGGGCCGTACTGGTAAAGTCTGGCAAGCATTGTTGAGGGTGGGTAACTCTATAGAGGCCTAATCTGATGCTTCCTACCCAGAAGCCAAAGCTCCTCTCGGTGGGAGTTGGGCACAATCTCTAACATGCATTTACAGATTTATGCAGAAAACAATGATGTGTGACAGGTTCCTCTCCCTTGTTAGTGTGTTTGTAAATTTTTCTGTGGAGCTAGGTCACCAGTATTGTCCACTGATCAAGATAGCTGTCAGTCCCTGTGACATCACACTCACTTTATAAAACTCTATAATAGGGCAGCATGAACTCTAAATAGTTGCCTTAGTGGGCGTTCAGAAAGAAAATTGCCTTGTGGTTTAAAAAAAAATAAAAATGCTAGGGCCTGTGCTGTTCAGGCACCACAGAAACAATGAAATGTGATCCAGGAAGTACAGTTTGAGTAATTCACTTGAAGGCTTATCAGACGCCAAAACTCTGCACAGTGGTTTGTAAGACTATGAGACACAATTGTACAACTTTTGGAAAGTTGTCATAGTGACAAAGGGTTAGAAATAAGGCTTTTTAAGTTATAAAATAACTATGTCTAGTTATAATAAACTATGTCATACAGGGACTGCCTAATGTCTAGCCACAATGCTTTAATTATATGCAGTTTGTGGGGAGAGTGTTTGTATGATTGAAATATACATTAAGTCAAGCTGGTCAAGGTCATCAGATTGGGCCACAAGACTGAGCACATTTTTAACGGATACGAAGTGAATACCTCATTATAACTTAATTTGATCACCTACTGGCTTCCTAGAAAACACCAAACATCCTGCATCTACCAAGTCGCTAAATGCACTCAGTTCTAGTTGAGCCTGCTCTGTTTTGGAGCATAAAAGACCCTGTTCTCTGTCTATGCTTGATTAATAACAACTGTCACATGCCTTTGACCACAGCAAATTGGGGGTTTCCTGTCTCTACAGCTGTGTAATGAAGCTGAATATGAACAGTGAAAATACATGCGACACACTGTAGCTGTTGTTAAGAGGAGACAGAAACTCAAACTTTGTTGGTCTCTTTGCCACTTTTTTTTTTTTTTGGAAAAGCACAGGATTAGAGGTAGAGAGAGCAAAACAGTAAGTAAGTAAGTTTATTTATATAACCTAGCACCTTTAATCAGCAGACGTCACAAAGTGCTTCACAACAGAAGATAAAAGAGCAAGCAAAAGACAGAGAGACAGATAAAAGATGCAGACATCAAAATAAAAACATTAAAATAATAAGACTGAATAAAACACTCAAACTAAACAAAAGCAAGCTTAAGATCTTTAGTCCAATGGGAAAAGAGTTCCAAACTTTGGAAACTACAACCTCAAAAGCACAGTGTCCTTTTGTCTTGAGCCTGGAGCGAGGAACAACCAACAAACCCTCATCAAAGGACCTCAGTGGTGATATAGTGCTGCAGTAGCTCTTTTATGTAGCCAGGTGCCTGGTCATGCAAGGTCAGGAAAGGGAGAACAGGATTCTGAATTTTATGGAAAGCCAGTGTGAAGACATCAAAATCGGTGACCTTTTTGGAGGTCCGAAGCTTCGCAACAGCCTTTTGGGCTGCTTGTAAACAGTTCAGGGAATAGTAAGACATGTGAAAAGGGAGGAAATAGACGTGTGAATAATCATCTCCATTTCAGTTAGGGACACAAATGGGCTTGAGTTTAACAGGAGCGAACCAAACAATTTACATGCTGGTCAAAGACTCAAAGCCTGGTCCATAGAAACGCTTGGCTTACTGAGGGTATATTTAACAGAAGAGGATAGAGAGCCAAGCTTTCTATCAGCGTTGGGACAGCACCAGTTGTCCATATTTAAAGTGGAAATTGAAAACCTTTTTGCTTTAAGTTATTATTATGAAGTAAATCTTGTTTGCACGGTGTAATGGCTATAGAATAACGACACCATCCACATTTAGATTGGTTCCCTATAAGCAAACCAATGACGTTACTCGCTATTTATTATTCCTATTCTTCAGTGAACATGCTTCTTTTTCTGTCTCATCTCCAAACTGGTGTTGATCATTTCGGACGGCGACGCTTAACAACAGCGACACAAGCAGTAATACCACTTGGATTAACTTTTAACTGTAGAAGATGGTCTGCGATCCATTTTTTTTATATGTTTATGGAACTATATTTTGCAGAACAGACAGTTTAAGGCTTAAATGAGGTTTAAACAGAATGTTGTCTACAGAACAAAGGAGAAAGGAAAAAGTTGAAATACCAAAGAAACACCACATCTCAGTTTATTTATCTTTTAATTACTTCTTTGAGAAGTTATCAAGGGGGTGTCATCCTAATGGAACAGATAAATTGGTCCTACTCAAGAAGAGTTGTTGTTGCTGCAGCAAATGCTAATATATGCCAAGAGACACTTGGCAAGTGATGCAGTTTGCAAACAAAAAGCTTGATGTCAAGCTGTGATGTATGTAACCCCCTAAATGACTTTCCTCTTGATTTTGTGTCTGTGTACAGGCCAGCAGAAGATTTGTCTCGAGAAGCCAAGACCAGCACTGATGTCAATCATAACTCTTCCACCGCCGTCATGACACCGAGCAGCCACGGCCCGGGGAAGACTACTGCCCAGGTAGTCACGTCATCCAGTCCCGCCACTTCCAGCAACTCTGTTCTGTCAAGCTTCCTGTACGGCATGCCCATGTCATCCAAACCTCACCCAGACGGGAAGCTGGATTTCAAGCCCATGTCCCTCCTCAACCTCGGCAAGGACAGAGCGGCGAACTGGACTGCAGGCACAGACAAGAGCACATCTGTCAAGGACTGCGGAAGCAATGGTAAGAGGGGGGTTGGTTTCAACAATGGAATATGATCTTTGGGCTTGCGGGTGTTCCACAGTCACAGCATTGAATGACCAGTGTGTGGGATTTAGTGGCAGGTTCGACATGGTGGCCTCCATTTAAGGCGACCAGTGGTATGTGTAGATATAAAGGGCTCACTCTGTGTTTAAGAGTTTGACTCATTCTGGCTCTTTCTCAGCCAGTAATGGGTTAATTTGAAAAGAGAGCTTTTGTGAATAGAAGTAAAATTCAAGGTTGTCACGAATTCACAATAATGATCATAACAATAAGGAAGAGTATAATCACTATATGAAAAACGGTTTCAGAAGTGCTTCATGCTACGCCTCCAGTGTGTCGAGACAAGTGGCAAATTTGCAGTGTGCTTTGAAGTCAGATTATTATACCGCTCATTATTTATTTCAAAGCAGCACTTAACTTTTACCTTGATGTCCTTGTTCTACTCTTATCTCTAAAGGAGTCAGGTTGAGTTGCTTACCTTTATATGAAATCCTAGAGAAGAAGTCATACCTCTAAAATGTAGGAAAACACTACAAAACAAGACCCACACAGAATGGTGTAATTCTTTATTCTGGTACTTTTGCATCTTTGCAGTTAATTAAATACTTTAGTATCAATTGATGTTAAATATCTGGATGCTGAGTGAACATTTCTGACTGAAATGAAAGTTCATTTAACTGATTATATTTATTCTTTGGCTCGCATTTTCAGATGAGACAACAAGACTACCTGGTGAGCAGGGTCAGAGCCCTCCTGGCATCCACATCTCCAAGAGGCTACTCTTCTCCATAGTGCATGAAAAATCAGGTGAGGTTGAACATCACACCAGGAAGATACAGGCAGTCGGCCTCATTGTGAATGTATATATTCATACACTGACAGAACATTTTGTACTTCACTTACATTATATCACACCTACACTTTTATGTCTACAACACAGTATAAAATGGCCCGTCGCGGGGGCTCAGTGGTTCGCACTTTTGCCTCACAGCAAGAAGGCGCTGTGTTTGAATCCCAGCTGGGCCGAGGCATTTCTGTGTGGAGTTTGCATGTTATCCGTGTGTTTGCATGGGTTTTCTCCGGGTGCTCCAGTTTCTGCTCGGCGGCTGCTCCTAGTACTTAGATGGATCAAAAGCGAGCAAAAGGAAGAATGAATTTCTCTACAGGGATCAATCCAGCATAACTTAGTCACGAAACACTGACTTTGTAATGATATAACACATTAGAACATACTGGAAGGAGGATTTTGTTACCTTCATACAGCTGTGTATTTACAGACCAGAGAGGGTTATACAGCTTATCATCTATCTCTCAGTTAGAACTATTCCTGTGACAGAGTTTTAGTGAGATGTGGTGTTAGATAGAACATATGTACATCTTGTACAGCGTTATATCATCCAATAATAGCTTATTACAGATATAGTGTTATCAGTGTTTATGTTAGCTGTTAAGTAACAAGAAACTGCTGTATAGAAAGATATGTTCGAGGTAGTTTATAAACTGTGACACCAGCATAGTCCGCAGAGAAGTTTAGAGCTCTAAAGCTCAGTTCATGCCTTTGGCAAAGTCAGTAACCAAATTGAAGGGATCCATATCAAAAAAGGAGGATTTTGTGATTTTTGTCCCGCTTTGGATTTGCAGGCCACAAAAGCAGGCCAAGTAACTGTTTACTGAACAAAGGCTAAACTATACTAACACTTAACCATTAAGGGCTAAGCTATTAAGATGTCTAGTAATCCTATAAGAAGATTGCACTCATTTCCCAAGTTGATAATGAGCTGATGGAGACGATTAATTTCGGATCTTTAGCACTACAGTGAAATAAAGCTCATTTGAATGTTAAAGCTCCTATAAAGCGGGTGTCCATTTCATTGTACGCGAAGCATTAACAGGGGTTGTTTCTTGCAGAAAAATGGGATTCTTTCATTCGGGAAACGGAAGACATCAACACATTGAGAGAATGTGTTCAGATCTTGTTCAACAGCAGATACGGTAAGCCGCTGTCTCTCTGTCTGTGGCATTTTAGATTTTCTTGGGACCTCAGTATCACATACATGCAGCGATTTGGAAAGGTATCTCTGCCTGCTCAAGCAATTGTTCATGCACAGTGGGGATTCTGTGCGTTTCTATGGGTGTTGATGGATTGGGGTCAGTGCTTTGGTTTGATCATCTTTTCCTCAGTGATACACAACACATGTATTTGTAACCACAGTATGCCGTCAATTGCTACAAAGAAGAAAGAGCCCAAACAGAAGCACAATACCGCTAATTACAAGTTAACTTCCTAAAATATTTGCACTGTTTCGCCACTTATTTGTAAGTATTCTAGAGAGGCTTGCAAGCAGTCCAGCTGCAGTGTACTTACTCAGTGGATACAGTGTGTCTTCAAGCAGTTTGTACAAATTAAGGGGGAAAAAACTATTCCCCATTATGGCTCATGGGATCTGTTTTAAATTTTTCATTCGAGCCGTCAGCACCGGTTATCATTCCTTTTAAAGTTTCATTTCCCATTTAGCTGGAATTATTTTTCACTTATGTAAACCTTCACACGGCGTGTGCGTCCCACTGGAGGCTGCTTTTCCTTTCCTGTTTGTGGCGTTAACACGCGCTTAAAGTTGAATAAACTATTACTTCAAGACTTCAAGTCAACATCTAAGGGATTTTATTTCCGTGGCATCACATTGTTCTTCTAAAAAGCCTGCTGGCTTACGGTTTTCTGCCTCCAGCTGAGGCCCTGGGTCTAGATCACATGGTGCCTGTCCCCTACCGCAAAATAGCCTGCGACCCAGGAGCTGTGGAAATCATCGGCATCCCTGACCAGATCCCCTTCAAGAGACCCTGCACCTATGGAGTCCCCAAGCTCAAACGCATCCTGGACGAGCGCCACGGAATCCGCTTCATTGTCAAACGGTAACCAGCGCTTTTAAGATCATAAGTGCTGCTTTTAGCATATTGTTAGCATCTTTTTAAGCAGGTATACATCTCTGGGACAAATGCACAGTGTTGATGTAGTACTTAGACTAGATTTGAACACATCAATGCATGCCTCCATGTGTAATTCAGTCCAATTTAGTCACTGGGCTCAGATCATGGTTTATCCACTTGCTACGTCATTATGGTCCAGCTCCACTCCACCAAATTACAGTATGGCATCGCCTCTGAAACGTTTATTTAGAAAAGATTTTTAATAAGCAGCCACCGAGCGAGCCAGCCTATACCATCTGTCTGTTAAACGTCTGTTTCCTTCAGCACACTATGTCCCGCTGACTGGTAAACCATTTCCATTCATGTCCCAAATGACTTTACCCTGCCAGCATATTGCGGCTGCTCTTCCATCCATTCGTTTAAGCTAATTTAAATGAGCCACCATGCCTTGTTTGAGATAACACATCTTTTAACAAATCCTGCAGGCAGCTCATTAGTGTTAATACAATTAGGAAAGATTGAAAATGTGATTAATGCAGAATTGCATCACATTCCCATTGTCATTGAGAGATGTTCCAGATGTAGGCCCTGATGTTCTTCTTTTTGGCATGTTCTTTGTTTACAGGCTATGTTCATTTTAAAAGTAACTGATCGTTAATTCTAATGGCTTTCTGCTTTAACTGCAACCAAACGTTTGTTCTAATTTAAGATCAAAAGTAGCCCTGCTATTAATAATTCCAAGATGATATCACATGTAATAACAACCTAATTGTATTTCCATGTTATGAGCAGATCAGTTTCAAAATTATAGGCAAGTAGATCCATGCTTGCTGGCTTTTGGTAATAATGAAAATTCCACTGAATATTTTTTAAAACGATACCAGAGTTGTGGCTCATAGGAAAGGCGATGGGATTGGTCGTTTGTCTGCTGGCCCAGTACTTTAACACTCCAGAGTTAAATATCTGGACAGCAAATGGATGGATTACATTCAGCACAGATATTTATGGTCAATAAAGGACTGAAACTGACTTTTTATGTGGTGACTACAACTTAATGTCATCCAAAGATACCTCAAAATTAGCCTCAGCTGTACTTGGTGTTTATTCCTAACATTCTTTAGAACACCAACATGCTTACAAGTTAACATGCCTAAAGGATAAGATGGATGGATAAGAGGGACATTATTATATAATTTTTCTTACTGTCAACAAAAACAACTATCTATATCTTAGCCCATTCATTCCTACTGCATCTTTAAAAACAGAGCACAAATATAGTTCTATGTATAATTTTAACCATCAATAAAACAAATGTAATATATAAGTTAACATGCTAACTGTAAGCATGTCCTAATATGGCCACCATACAGAGCATAAACCTTTTTAATTGCCTTTTTCACCCTAACTTTAAATGTTTTACTCCACTAGTGGTAAAGAACTGATATCAGCGAGTGTAACGGCTGTAGACTATAAGTCCTGTTCAGCAATGACCCCAATGTAAAATTAGGTCATCTTGCTTTAACAAGTCTGGTAGTGAAGTAGTTATAGATGAAAGTTAACAGTACTCTTCTTCACCAGCTGGAAGTTGCAGAAATTCAATCTTAATCTAAAAAAAAAAAAACCTTTACAAGAAGAAGTAAATGAACAAGACTTCTGAGAAATAGTTGTGTCTAAAGATTGATTATGATCGCAGCAGGAGAGGAATGTCTCGGTGGCAGACGGAGCAGTAGCATGTGCCAGGAGGAGGGGGAAGCTGTCCAAAAGTACAGTTATTTTGGGATTCAATGATAAGAATGAAATAACTCAATTACTTGATTGTTTGACTGAGACTGATTGTTTAAAGAGCAGTTAATGTGCTTAAAGAGCCGTTAATGATGTGTTCCTCTCCACTTGTACAGTGTTTGCATCATGATCTTTTTGCCCCCGAGAGCTGAAACGCTCTTTGAACTCACTGACTAATAGCCCTTTTTTTTTTCTTTTTTATATTCCAGAATGTTCGATGAAAGGATTTTCACTGGTAAGAGTGTGATTATTTTTTTGTTTGTTTGTCTTGATACTATTTTCACGTGCATATGAGCAGTGATTATTAATTAATGAAACACCGCTGCTCCGCCTCTTTATGACTTCTTTGCCAATGTCGCTAATTGTACTTGAAAATATGCCAGTTTCTAGAATTGCAAGGTTTCTGTTGGGGAAGCTGGTGGCAGAATAGTTCACCTTCCTTTTCTATACTGAATCTTACACATTTATTTATTCACAGGCTAAAAATCATCATGTGAGTTACAGTATATATATATATATAT